AGTCTGGGCTACAAAGTGAGCTCAAGGCCAGCCTGAACTGCATAGTGAGACCATGTCTCAAAAAGACAAAATATAAAAATAAAATAAAATAAAATAACAAAGTTAAAAAAAAAATTAAATAAAATAAATAAAATAGAAACAGGGTCTCACTAAATTCTGAACTTGGGATCCTCCTACCTCAACCTCCCAGAGTGCTGGGATTACAGGCACGTGCTCCCACTCCCAGTTTAACTTTCATTTTGGTTTGGGTTTGGTTTGGTTTGGTTTGGTTTGGTTTGGTTTGGTTTGGTTTGGTTTGGTTTGGTTTAGTTTTGGGGTTTCATTTTGTGTGTAGGTCTGCCCATGTAGTTCAGGCTGGCCTTGAACTTACTATGAAGCCCACACCACTTTGAATTTACACCAGTCTTCCTGCCTCAGCCTCCCAAGTGCTAGAATTATAGGCATGTATCAGCACACTTGGCTCTTAGCTTCTGACTTTTAAACCTTGTCTCTACTAGGTACAGTGACACCCACCTGTTAGTCCTACCTACTCCACAGGCCAAAGCAGGAGAAGCACTTGTTCCCAGGAATTCAAGGTCAGCCTGGGCAACATGGAAGACTCATCTCAAAAACACACATACATACATAAAAATAAATATAAATAAGTAAAGCAAGCCAAGGGGTGTAGCTCAGTAGTAGAGTAGGTGCTTAGCATACACAAGATCCTAGATTCAACCCCTAGCACCAAATCAATAAGGGAAAAACATACCTTGTCTCCAGATATTGTCCATGAACCTAGGTAATTTTGTATCCATACAGTTCCTCTGCCATATTATATTTATATATTTTTCCAGATTTTGTGTACAAGGATTGGACCAAGTGAACTATAGTCTAGGAAGGTCTTTGTTTTTTAAGACAAGGTCTTGCTACATTGCCGAACTTGTGGGCTTGAGTGATCCTCCTGTCTCAGCTCCCTGAGTTGCGGGGAAGAGGGAAGGGAAAGGGAAACAGGTCTCACTATGTAATTCAGACTGGCCCGGAACTCACTAGGTAGCCCAGTCTGGCTTCAGAGTTACAGAAATCCTCCTCCCTCAGCCTCCTGAGTGCTGGGATTATAGGCATGCACCACCATGTCCAGCTAGGTTAGAGATGTTTCCTCTCCCAGGAAGAGGCTGGAGCCCTGACCTGCTCCCATGGAAATGTCTCCCTCCTGCCCACGAATCTTCCCTGGGCTCCTCCCTCATCCATTGTATCCTTTCCCACCCCCATCCCTCTGCATGGCCCCAGACCCAGCTACCCATTCCTTCCACCCATCTCCCAAATTAAGATGAGATTTGTGATAGCACTGGGGGTAGTATGGCTCAGTGGGGAATGTGGATTGATCATTCTCTTGGTGTTTCTTTCTGAATTCAGACTCCCAAACTGGCTCTGCAGTGAGTACTGAGGCTTACCCAAAAAACCCGCACCTTCGAGCCTATCACCAGAAGATTGACAGCAACCTAGGTAAGACTGACAGCTGTGCCAGCCTCTACTGTAAGTCACTTGTCCTCCATGCACACGGAGCTACTAGTTAGTTGCTCCCTCACCCATGTCACACTCCACAGAATCACTCTCAGAATTCTGTCCACTTCTCTCCTTTTACTTTCAGCCAGGTGT